ATATTATATATATATATATATTCTGAACGACTGTGGAAGTCTTTGGTGTTAGAATCTAGGGACAATCTGCCCATGAGTTGTGCAGTAGATAAAGGGATTGGGGATCTTGTCAAAAACCGTATTTTGGATTATCATCCCAATACATGGGCTTGCGCATTTTTGAGAACCCTTGGCGGGTTCATGCAGTGATGGTCGTTGCAGTTAGTTTGTGAAGGTAGAGGCATTTACAGAGGAAAAAGGCTGACTGCTTGGGTGCCGCTGGTCCTTTTGGCTGCCGCTTGCATGTAGTTTTGAACGTAGATACATTTACATGCTTATGCACATGTGCATACATTGAGCATGAACTATCCCAATGCACTAGAAAGGCGCCGTGTGGACAAGTCTCGTGATGAAATAAAGGCGAATGGATGTGAAAACATGTTTTGCTGCTGCCTCTGTGTTGCAAAAGCCAAACATGAACTAACGTTCTTAGGGAAGGTTTCATTCATCAGCACAAAAGAGCAGGCATCTAACCAAACGCCTCCTGAACCTCTTGCCTTGCGCCCGATTTTGGGTTATGTAATAGCACTGCTACTACTGGGCGACAGGGAAAACAGCTACACAGAAAAACCATTCAAGAATTTGTTGCATATGGCATCATACACAGCAGATCGGCACAGTATTTGGCTCAAATTGTCCACACGAAGATATTAACTGTATCTTACACTAAAGCATAATGGCTTGCATCAGTGGATAAAAATATTGATGCAGATATATCCAACACAAGTGTTACATGTATACACTTGCACAGACACAGACAACTTTACAACCATTTAATCCAATGGAGCGCAAACGCGTGACTGCAAATATTTGGATAAACCCAAGTACCCATGCAAACGCAATTCATCGCCGACCCGTTCTAACGCCAAATTGATACTGAGCATGAGCACATGCATAAATATATGCCTGCATATGTGTACGTCCGTACACAAAGAGGATGCATACGGAAATGCTTTTTGTCCACTTGTCAGAGCTGAGCGGTCCGTTTTCCTGGGCACTATTTTTTCATGCTGCGACTCGCCAAGTCGACCCGAGGATTTTTCTTTCTCAGTTCTTCCATATACGCTTCGCACCTTTTAATTTGTTCAGGATCTTCAGCGGCCTCTGGCAGCATCTGCGGGTAAACCATGTGCAACTTCTCCGCCGCATCCTTTGAGAATGGCGTCTTCCCGACGATGTTTCCAGCTGCGAACACACATAAGCATCTAGGCACGCACTAAAACTTCCTACGCAGCATTCACCTACACCAGGTGGAGTGGCTGCCGCTTCCCCAGCAGGTAGTGGTGCCGTGAAGAACTCTGTATGTGCCAAGTTGCCCACAATACACTTTTTGATATGGAGTGCTTCCTGAATGCGCTAAGGGAGCGATGAATGCGCCTATTGATGTTTCTGCACTACATATTGTGCTATTCACCTGGGAAGTACTGACAGCCGACGAGCATGAGGGGCCTCTCGTGCGAGCACGCCTTGCTGCAGACGACGTATGCGCATCCCACTTCAGTGGATTTGTTCCACACAGTAGCAGTGAAGTGGCCTGTCATAAGCCCTTCTGCATGGTCTTCAATGCTGCACTTGGGGCCCAAAATACCGGTGCAAGGATTACCAATCCTCCCGTATCTGAATAGGCAAGAGCAACCCGACAAAGTTCCATGAGCGCTAATGAGGGTGTCTAAGAAACTCACTTCAGGACAGAAACCCGCAATTCACAAGGATTGAATGAAGCACACAACTAATATGATTTAAAATTCATGTACAAAAAATCGTAAGGAAACGAATATCCTGTTTATCCTGCCTGAACTAGAAGAGCCAATTGACGGCACATGCGCCGATACAAGAGCAAATACGAATACGGCCCTTAGTTGCATGCTGACGATTCTTCTATACTCATGCATTTCACCTTCTATACGTAGACATATGGAAGCATGAAACCATTATAAAGCCAGAAGGGTAAGCAACTTCGTGTAGTGCTTAGTGGCATGGCCCCTTCCTGCCTGCGCTCATGTAGGTGCATGCTCCGTTACAGAGGCCATTATATTCATCTGCGTATGGCCTGCCTGCTTGCAAGCATTTTTCACGTATGCAGACGACAAAGGCCTATACCTGTAGCAATGTGCCTCGCTTGCCCAGTCGTTAGGTACATTACGCGGAAATCCCCCGAAAGCGCAACAAGTGTACAGATTCTCTCCTATGGGACCGTTAAATCCCGGCTGAAAGAAACAAAGCATACACAGTTACACGGGTAGTTAGAAATCTTTGTTCCGTACTGGTGACACTAAACTAATGCGATATTCAGGGCCAAGAAGGAACAGCGTATGGCATACACAGCAAGGTTCATTGGTCCTTGCAAGCACCAGTGAACCTTGCTGTGTATGCCATACGTTGTTCCTTCATTCGGCAGTGCCGAATATGGCAGTGCCACTGTTGGCGTTGGTTGGGTATCTGCTGTTGCGGCTACTGCTGCTACTGTATACTGCAGAAACTGGAGTGGCTTTGGCGGCTCTTTACCAGCTGACGATGCCTGCCCGGAGAATGCTCCATTCGGCATTCTTCATATTGGTCCTGTTGCTTGAGATAATGCAGCATGTTGGCGGCGATAAGCGGGTTCCATTTCAGATCTGCTACGGAGTGTTGTCGTCTGATGGAGTTATGACGTTCCAACATAGCTTAATAGGGCAGCGCAAGAACAAACATACAGAGCAAGATAACAATTCCTGTACTGTAACAGTTGCGTAAACAGGATAAAAAAATGTACCGAAATGGATAATGCCAGCCACTAAAGGATACGCATGGCAACAGATCTTAACAAACAGCACATCCCTAAAAGGCGACGAAGATACAGCCAGGCTCAGGGCAACAGTTTTTCATTATAGCATGTATAGCTTTGAATATTTGTTAACAATCCACATGTTTATTCATTCGAATTTGGTGGGCTGTGTACTTCACATATTTTCTTGTAGAACGTGTACCGGTGCTTACTCTTGCGAAATTCATCCATTGTCACTGCAAGACAAAACGCAACAGCAGAAAGAGTTGTCATGCATAAATGTCCAACGGTGTTTATGCGATGGAAACTTTCCCTAGAATCCTAAATTCTTGGACAGTTAGCATGTGAACATCAGAAATATCATTTTCCTCTATATTTGTCTGTGTATCAACAGTATAGTTTTATTTGTGCTAGTCAAGCTTATCACCGCACAGCTGCACCAAAAGACTATCACGAAACACCGTACACCGGTGGGTGGAAGCAGAGCGTGGAGAAAAGAGCTAAGCCATAGACACGAAGGAGAATGTGAAGAACAGTTATGTTTGACAGACAGTGACAAGAACAGGCTGAACAAGTCTACACATTTTTAACCAATGTGGATGTACAACAGCAGGAGAAACGCAGGAGCATAGAAAATGGAGATTCTGAGCCCATACTTCCAATGCTGAGAACAAGATATATCTGAGTTTCAATATATTACACAGCGTTTAACAAACCTGCTAGCCTCACCCCACTGGCTTTAGCCGCAAATCTGTCAGTGTCTGTGTGGTGACATCTATCAATATAAATATACAATGGGTTTGGCAATAAATGTCCTAGCAGAGAAATAGGTGTAGGTGATGGAGCCGCATTTAAAATGAGCGGTATCTACTTCCAGAAATGGGGTAAGGTACCAACAATCACTAACAATCGCGTTTCACATTCTGCACAGGGCATTTGTCATATAAGAGCAGTATAAACATGTTCTCCTTTTGCACACGATATATGAATGAACGGAGCAACTACAGGGATGTTCATCATCGTTATAAAAACCTGCTTCTTACGTTTTTCAATTCTGTTGACGACCCGGTTTTCAAGACTTCCTGTACAGGAATTATCAAATGTCTTGTATAGGCGATATTGATACCCAATTCCAAATTGTCCCATCACCCCTTCCTTGGTGTAAGCCCGGCCAGTGAAGCCCGTATCGAACACGATGCAGGCTTCGTTACTCTCTGGCTTTTTCACTGCCACAGACGCAGACAAACAAGATATGGGAGCTCATTCAAGTGGCCTTAATTGGCAGCATAGTCCCACAAAGGTGAACAGAGGGGGAGCACACCTGCCCAAAGAGTACACGAATAAAAACTCCACAAAATGCAGCCCGAGCAAGTTCTTGGTTGCTTACATTGCAGCGGACTGAGCCTCTGTAGCTGTTAAAACTGCGCGTTGCTGCTATTCACCCATTATCACTCTTTTTTGTCCTCTCAACCCATTATATGGACGGTCTCTTTATGTGTGTATGAGTGTGTGTGACTCGTGAGCTACCCATGTGCCTTTTCCCCTGTTTCTATGTTTGTCACACTATGCCTTCACCCGTGCTCCCGCCCCCTCTATTGGTGCATTTGTCACTGCTTTTGTCTATTGGTATCCAAAGGCCTTACCAATTTTGGCACTTTTCGTCATTAGTCTACCGAGTTCTTCCATGGCGTCTGGTGGCAGACCTTTTATTGGGCGTTCTAGTGAAGTTAAGAACTGTAGTCCATCTACACGTTACAGCATTAGCAAACAAATGACAACGGCGAAAACTATACCAGAGGCAATGCTAATGGAAACAGATCTTGCAATGTACGTGGGGCAGCATAAATCAGTTGTGCAGTTCGAAGAGTTTCCCCCTTTTCCTCTCCTGCGCAGGTGACTTAAAGTTCTTTGTCCAGTCATTGAAGCCATTGAAAGACTCTGGACTCGAGGTTTGTCGATCAGCAATTCGCTTACCTTTACACCCAGTAGACGAAATGCAAGTTTCCCTTTCTGCAGTCGTCATGCACTTATTGTTAAGCATAGCTCTCGTTAAACGCATGCGGCCGCCGTGGCCGCAAGTCGTCGAGCATGGGCTCCATTTCGTTGTCATTGTATGACAGCCTGTACACGTACACGAAGCGAGGCATGAGCAGACTCCAGTTTGATGGGACATAAGGGGGCCAGCCCTTACACTTTCTGAAATATGTAGCCGACGCATTGCCACACCGCGAATACCATACGTTCCCGTGTATAAGGAGAGAGGAAACTCAAAGCAGCGTGCACTAAAGGAATACGGTGTTAGAGAGAACAGAGAAGTGTAAATCAAATCCAGCTAGACACAACAGGCGTGGCAGAATATTCATACGGTAGGCAATCAAAGGAAAAAAACGTGAAAAACATCGACGGGGGCATACGAAACCACACCAGCCTCCCAACACAACAAGGATCTTCCTTCAGAAGATCTAGGTCATGGAGCAGAGAAGACACCTGGCAGAGCAGACACCTGGCGTTTCTCGAACTGACGTGACGGCGGTATTTGTGGTTTGTAGGGTATTGTCTCACCAAACTGCGGATTGTCGTTAACAGCACTTTGCAACTCGATGTTGTCTGTGGGAAAATACTTTGTTTCTGTCGAATATCTTTGTGCAACGTCTTTTATAATACGCATCGCTCGCTCCATGTGTTCCTTCGTGATGGTAGGGTCGATAGTGGGATTGGCCGCAGCCTTCTTCTCTGCAGACAATAAAATGCACGGCTGACAAGAATAAGGTTTGTACTAGAGGAGCAGCTGCGGCCATCACAATGTGACAGAAAAGGCTATTCAGCACCAAAAGAGAACAGTCAATGAGAAACCGAAACCAACAGATAGGATGCCACAAATATAGAGCGAAACGCATCCTCCTCACTCGAGACGAACCAAACACAAGCAGCACTCATTAAGCGGGGTACACAGCTCGTTATACGGCCACTGACGATGAAATGATGCAACAAAAACACAAAAAGATCGAAAACAATTGCAAGACGCTTTGAGCCAAGGAAAACCCAATACAGCAGAAATACAACATGATATTTTTGCTGCGATTGAGACTCGTTCAGGGAACATATACAATAAATTCAGTATGTTCGCGCAAGGATTAAACATCGATGCAAAACAAAGCACTGCTAGAAAATAGAAAAGGGTGAGCAAAAGGAGCTGCTTCTGGCAATAGCACAAGGGCAGACGAGGGGAAGTGAAGTCGAACTAAACGCCAGCCCTCATTGCCTTCTTCATCAATGCTCTCTTGTATTCAAACGAGCACCCTGATTCCTTTGCTATGTAGACACGCTTCAATGTATTTGTTTGGATAAAGTGCATGCTGACTGCATTCTGCTTTTGATCTACTCATCCTTTTTGTCTTACCTTCTTCGGAGATAAAATCGCTCGAAATGAACTCGGGCAAAGGCGCTTGTGTGAATTGGTTGTTTCCTACAGGCCAATAAAACAAAACGACGACAGCAAACGGTTCTTGTTGACTGGTAAAAAGCGAATAATACAGTAAGGGGCAGGGAACGTCAAGGGAAAAGAGCAATACATCTGGTTACAGCAAGACTGTACAATGGACAAAGGTGGAGATGCCAACAAGCATCATATTCATCCGGTGTGGAGCTAGTTTTCACATTAAAATAATCACACGAATGAGCTCGCTCCACTTGGATAACGAATAGCCTTAGCACCTCATTACTCTAAAAGGGCAGGAAAACAAGTATATACCAGAGATTTGGGCGTAAAATTCCATCCAACCCCGCTTTCGTCACAATGGGAAGTACCCTCTACTATGAATTTAGATTAAATCTGCCGTTGGTTTTGTCTGTTCATAGTGTATCTGTACATATAAGGCTAACTAAACGGCGCCAATACATAGACTTCTAGGGCTCTTTCAACGTCTTACTTCTGGCCTCCTCATCAACTTCAGCAAACATTTGGTCCGCCAGTTTTTTGAGTTCTTCTACGGATTTCCCCTCGCCAAAAGGTTGTCTAGAAACCGGCAGCGTCGCCCTCTGTTGCAGTTTGGATGTAAGAGTTTCTTTTGCTTTCGTTTTGTCTGCTTCTTCTTTTCTCTTGGTTTCTTCCTCCTTTTTCTGGCGCTCTGCTTCAGGTTTTCGTCGCTGTTCCTCTTCGTTCTTCTTTCGCCTCTCTTCTTCTTTCTTTTTCCTCTCATCTGCTTCCTTTTGTTTGCGTTCCGCTTCTCTCTTCTCTCTTTCTTCTGTTTCTTTCTTTTTGCGGGCCTCTTCCTCTTCCCTTTTTCTCTGTCTTTCCGCTTCCTCTTTTCGTTTCTTTTCTTGTTCCTGTCGTTGTCTTTCTTCGGCTTCCTTCTTTCGCTCTGCCTCCCGTCTTTCTGCCTCTTCTCGTGCTTTTCGTTCCCGTTCTTCCTCCTCTCGCCTTTGACGTTCCTTCTCCCTTTCGCTCTCTTTGCGCATTTCTTCTTCTCTACGTTTATGTTCCTCTTCCTTCTGTCTCTTCGCTTCTTCTTCCTTTCGTTTGACCGCTTCCGTCTCAGCCTTCTTGAGCCTGGGCCCCATATCCTTAAGTTTAAAGTCGTCAGCTGTAAATCCTTGCCGCGGAACTCCAGAGGCGTTTACTCCGAATTCTCGCGCTCCAGCTAGCGCCCCTTTGCCTTCTGCCGCAGCGGCAGGAGGCTGGTGAGCAGCTCTAGGAGCAGCAGCCGCCCGAGCTCTCGACGCTGCCGCTATTGCTGCTGCGGTCTCGTCGGATGGTTTGTAACGCTGAGCTATTTCACTCAACTTGCCCTTAGTGGACGGTGTTAAACCCGGTTGCAGCCCTTGTGCCAGGAGTCTGCCGAACTGCGGTCCCACGCGAGGCGATGGAGGGGTGCCTGAATGATACAAGCATCATAAGATCATGGTACACAACTGTGTCCCCATTTAGCGGGCATAAAATACCCATAATAGGATGAATGCCTAATATTGTAGGGCGCACTTACCTAGACGCATGGAGGCCCGCAGTGGTTGAGGTTGCCTCTGCTGCTGCTGCTGCTGCTGCTGCTGCTGCTGAGGCATTTGCCTTTCGCCTGTCAGCAGATACCTCCCCACCCGCCTCGCCGAATTTGCTACATGTCTTGCGGGTGCAAGAAGTTTGCTCGCGAGACTGTAAAAACTTGGGGCCGGCGGGCTTAACAGATCCGCTGAGGCCTCTTCAGCACTTGATGGCAGGAAGGGATCCTGAGTTTTTTCTTCTCCCTGAAGCGAAAATGTTGCAAACAGGCAAGCAGATATACATTGACAATAGAAGAATCTTCGCTTTCCATGCGGCCGCAGATGAAGAACACGCGATGGTTGGCAGCAAAGCCATTTTGTTAGCTACTACTTGGTTTCCTTGCAGCTCAAATGGAGAGAAAAGGCATGCCTTGCATATTGAAAATACTATCAAATGTGATTTAGAAGAGGTTGTGTGGGCGACTTGCAGGCCGCACGTGCGACCCCGCAGGCCAATAACTCCATTTTGTCACCTCGAGAATGAGCGATGGTGTGTCCAGCTTGTTTGCTACTCTGAGAGGTGGCAGAAGAAGTAGCCTACAAGTACAAGAGCGTAAAGCTTTAAGGTATTTTGGCGCTTACCTCAAAATGAATATTTCTGTGGAAGGCCTGCTTGGGCGTAGTTGGGGCGAGCTGAGCGCTGAGGATGGCCGCGCGAGATCTGTTTAGCGACGTTGTCTCGGCAAAGGGAAGCAACACCAGAGAAAGAAAGACAGTGAAACCTAACTGAGACATTTTAAAGGAAAGCTTGTGCTGCTGCGTGCCCGACCGTCGTAGTTTCTCGTGCCCGCCGTCGCAACCGGCGCTGCACTTGCGCTGTCTGTGAAGCATCGTTTGGGATAAACTCCACACCATTCATGGACTTATTTTCATTCAAAAAGTTGAAATTGAGGAGAAGGTGTTCTTGGCAGTGACGATGGGGTAAAGAGGGAGGGCGGAGCGAGCTCGATGGAAGGACGAAGCTCCGCTAGACACCAGAAGGCTTGCAGGGCACGATGACTCTGGAGAAATGAGGGGAAAAGCCATTAAAATGTCAAAGAACAACCAACAAAATTACTTAAAAGTTCAATTCCTCTCATTTGATCGTGAATCTTAAACTGGTGGTGCCTGCAAATAGTGTTGTGGTTCGCCCGCCACCGCAGCCGACGGACGGTGCCTCTGCAACGGTGGGTGACCGTGATCTTTAAGTTCTTTTAGAGTTAAACAATAACTGTAGGAAAACGCAAGTACATTTTTAAAAACTTATTTTTTTTGTTTAGTCCTATCAAATATTTCTTCGTACTTCTTAATGAAATCCGTCAAGTTGCAGCATATAAGTGGTGAGGACTTGCCGCCGAGCACCAACAACCAGAGTAAGATTTCGTAGTTATCCCCAGAGAAAAGCCCCCATTTGAAGGCTTCAAAAAAACACCATGAAACATTAAATAAATTGTGTGGTAGTATTTTTCCTTTAGCGGTAGAAGGTAGGTTCTTTGCGCCCAGTGTCTCTATCTTTCAGACCTCTGCCGTCTCGGTGCAGCTACATGGAGAGCGCATATCGTTGCTCGATTCGCTGCATCTCCTCTCAGTTTATACAATAATTTAAGTATATTTTTTTAATTTTTTGATTAAAAGGATGAACGAAGACTGACGCTCTAGGCAATATGAGAAACAATCGAATGTAGTAACGGGTGGCATTGCTGCCTGTTGTGATCAGGAAGCCATAGTCATTGAATGCAGACTTCCTCAGTCGCTAGAGGTCTTCCTTCATAACAGCGAATAAGAAAAAAAAAGGCATATTTAATGTTGTCTAAAGGAAGAAAGAAAGACAGGAACTTTACCTGCAAATAATCTTGTGATGCTCATGGCCATTCTTGGTAAACAATGAGACACACCAGCGCAACAACGGCATGCAGTATTCACAGACACCAAGACAGATAAAAGGAAAATAAATTGGGATGTACATAGACAAAACGCAGGCGACAAAATAGAATAAAGAAAGAAAAAAAAGAAAAGCGGGAAAATAACCAATATTTCTACCACATTCTCCTCCTTTATCCATCAAACAAACAAGGGCGCATGCACTGCACACAATTTATACATAACCTTTCCCCCCTAGTTACATTATTATTAGGTTGTATGCATGCAGGAAGCGACGGGAGAATCGTATATTTATTATTTTTTATTTAATGTAAATAGTAATTTAATATTTTAATTACCTAATTACCTTGAATTGCATGCAAGACAAGCGACCCTCCCCAACCTTCTAAATGGACAACTAGCTAGCCATGGGGATTAGAGGCTATCTGCAGCTAGCTGTACACACCTACAGCTAGCTGTACGCAGCTGTAGCTAACATCAGGGTTATGTGCAACTACTGCTGCCTCTGTGACTGTCACTGTGCCGCACCCCTGTATGACGTGCATAGATAGATGCATACCCTCCCCTATAAACAAACGACCTTCTGCATGCATGCATGCATGCATGCGTGCAGAAGACCATTAGTGACGAGTATTAGCCGTCAGCCTTATCTATATTTTTCTGCATAAGTCGCTAAGACTAAGCCAATAGAAGAAATGGCATATGCTGTGTTAATCAAGGAATTGCATGGAGACAGTAGCAGTAGTCTGTTTAAGGAAAAGGAAGAAGAGTAATAGACGGGGGGCGGGTCCCCGCACTCTTACCCCTGCCCCCCCCCTCTCTCTCTCTCTCTAGGCGGAGACAGGAAGGGGGCGGGGGAGAAGGGGCAAATAGAAGCCCCACACGGCCCCACATTAGCATGCAACAACAGCAGCCGTAGAGGTGGAGCAAACAGCTACAGCAGAGGAGTCAATATACACCCCGATAAGAGAGCCAATAATAATATATAAGAAAAATCCACCTAAATCTAAACATTTATCTACCGTTGCTGCGGCTGCGTCCTCCTCGTCTCTCGCTGCTGCACCTATCTGCTGCAGCAGCACCATACTTGGGATCTTCTCGGGGGTCATCTTTAGGATCTCGTCTGGGGTCGTCTCTGGGATCGTCTCTATACTCGTCCTTTGGATCCCTTCTGGGATCGTCTCTGGGATCGTCTCTATAATCACCTCTTGGATCCCGTCTGGGATCGTCTCTGGGATCGTCTCTGGAATCGCGTCCGTTGTCCTCTTTGGGATCGTCTCTGGGATCGTCTCTATAATCTCCTCTTGGATCCCGTCTGGGATCGTCTCTGGGATCGTCTCTGGAATCGCGTCTGGGGTCGTCTCTGGGATCATCTCTGGAATCGCGTCTGAGATCGTCTCTGGGATCGCGTCTGGGATCGTCTCTGGGATCGTCCCTGGGAACGCGTCTGGGATCGTCTCTGGGATCGCGTCTGTAGTCCTCTCTGTAGTCTCGTCTGGGATCGTATCTGCGGTCATCTCTGGGATCGCATCTGGGGTCGTGTGGGGGATCGTATCCAGGAGAACCCCCCATACGCGGCCCCCTACTATTGCTACGTCTCCATCCCCTTGTGTCCCTGTATCGACCACCACCTCCCCTCCACCGGTAATTGTCTCCTCCTGGTCCCCTATTAGGGGGGCCCCTCCAGGGCCCCTCTGTGTCTCTTCTATCCTCAGGATACCACCTCCTTGACCCCCCATAATAATCCATCCCTCCTCCTCGTCCTCCTCCTCCTCCTCCTCTGTCTCTACCATCTTCTCTGTCTCTACCATACTGACGGGGTCTCCATTCTCTGTCTCTTTCCCTATAATTGTCTCTATAATTATTATCTCTATCTCTGCTGCGGTCCCTTCCTCCATACATATCTCTGTCTCCTCCTCTGTCTCCTCTATACCAATAAGGATCCCTATCTCTGTCTCCATCTCTATAATCATCACGATCCCTCTCTCCTCTGTCTCCTCTGTATATGCTGTGTCCCCTTCTCCTGTCTCCCTCTCTGTCTCTTTCTCTATCACGCCCTCTGTACGGGCTGTGTCCCCTTGAGTCCCTTATAGAAGGAGACAGGGAGCGACTCGCTCCCCCTCGCCTCCGTTTATAGTCTTCTCTGCTGCTGCGGCGGCTGCTGTTGCTGCTGCGGCTGCCTCTTCTTCTAGCCTCCCTATGTCTGCTGCAGCTCCTGCTGCTGCTGTGCGACCGCGGGCGCCGCTGCTGCTGCCCAGCAACTGTCTCCTCGTCCCCGTTCGTCCGTTGCTGTCCCTTCCCTGTCTCCTTTCCTAACCGTCTCCTTCGGAACATGTTGCTGCCGCCGTCCCCACCGCCGCTGCACTGGGAGCCTTCCTCTCCACCGTCTGCTGCAGCAACAGCAGCAGCTGCTGCTGTTCCTTGAACTCCCCTCTCTCTATGGCCAGCAAGTGGGGGGCCCAGCGGCTCAGGTGACGCCGAAGGGCTCTCCGAGCTTCTTGGGGCCCTGTTTGCAGGAGACCTCTCGCATGCAGCAGCAGCAGCAGCAAGAGCAGCAGCAGCACCAGGCTGTGGGCTGCGCAAGACAGGGTCTGAGGAGCCCTCTTCGTTTGCTGCTGCGTCGTCCTCGCATCCTTCAGCAGCAAGTGTAGCACCCGTGCCCTCTGCTGCTTCTGCTGCTGTTGCTGCAGCTGTTGCTGTTTGATCGCCAGGTGTCTCCTGTGCTGCTGGCGTCCTCATTGCCTTAGGTATACCCAGGCGTCTCTCGTGTCTCTCTTTTGCTGCTGCCTCTGCTGTCTCGTCAATATCCATCGTCTCCGAAGCAGCAGCAGCAGCGGCTGGAGACTCTAAAGCTTGCTCACGGGCCCCCTCAGGGAGCTGTGTGTCTCCTTGCTGCTGTTCCTCCTCCTCTTGCTGGGGGAGCTGCTCATTGTCGTCATTAGCTGCGGCGGCTGCAGCAGCAGCTGCTGCTGCACCTGGCGTCTCTCCAGCTGCCAGAAGATAGGCCTCTGCTAGCGCAGCAGCAGAAGATGTGTCTGCTGATCCAGCAGCAGACCGCTGCAGCTGCCGCTGCTGCAGCAGCTGCTGCTGCGCACTCTTAGACAGCACAATCTTAATCTTAGGCTTTGCCTCAAGAGACCCTAAATATTTTTCTGCTGCTCTCCCGCTGTCTCCTGTGCCCCCTTGGATGTCCTGGGGGGCCCCCTTGGGGGCCCCCCCACTCTCTACAGAGGCCCTCAAGAAAGGAAATGAAGGGTCAGCAACAGAATCGGCCTTCATGCCAGGCTGCGGCATTACTGCTGCTGCAGCCGGTGGTGGATCAGCAGCAGCAGCACCTTCTGTTGCTGCTGCTGCTGGTTTGGCTCCGCCTGGCGCAGCTGCGCCACCTGGTGCAGCAACGCCCCAGCGACTCTTCCACTTAGATACGCGTCCCTCTGGCCTAGGAGCAGCAGCAGCAGCACTGCTGCTGCTGGCACTGGTATCAGCAGCAGCAGCAGCAGCAGCAGCAGCGGGTTCACCTACTGAATGACCTCCACCGGAGGCTGCTGCTTCTTCTGCTGCTGCTGCCTTGACAGAATCCTTAGAGGGCCCATCTTGGGCCATTCCCGCGTTGCTGCTGCGGCGGCTACGTGTTGGCCATTCACCAGCAGCATCAGCAGCAGCAGCAGCAGCATTCGTTGATGCAGCTGCGTTGCTGCAGCTGCGACGCTTCCTGCTGGGGCTCTTGCTGTCTCCGCAGCTGCCTCGTCTCTTCCTGTCTCTTATGCTGCTGTTGCTTCTGCCTCTGCTACTGCTGGTGCTGCGCCTTCGTGCTGCAGCGTCCGCTGTTGCGCGGGTTTGCTGCCCTCGGCGGTCTGCTGGGGGCGTAGGCATCCTGTGTCCTGGTGCAGCAGCAGCAGCAGCAGCACCATCCCGATCTCCTGGGCGCTGCCCTCTACCCCTCATGCTGCTTGCGCTGCTACGACGACTTCCGCGGGAAGGGCTGCGGCGGGGCGGCCTCTCCGGGGATCGGACACCCCGGTCCCGGGATCCGATCCCTCGATCTCTCGATCCGCCCACACGATCCCGGGATACACGATCCCGGGATCCGATCCCACGCTCCCGGGATCCGATTCCACGATCTCTCGATCCGCCCACACGATCCCGGGATCCGATCCCACGCTCCCGGGATCCGATCCCACGATCTCTCGATCCACCCGCACGATCCCGGGATCCGATCCCACGCTCCCGGGATCCGATCCCACGATCCCGATCCCTGGATCCTCCCATCTCCCGATCCCGCGACCCCATGCCACGATCTCGTGATCGGATATCACGATCCCGGGATCGGATCCCGTGGTCCTCGGATCCGATCCCCGGCCGTCTTGCTGCTGGGGGGCTTGTTGTGGGGCGGCGGTGTGGGGAGCTTGTACTACGTCTCTTAATAACCTCTTGGCTGCTGCGCCTTGCATGCGGCTGCTGCCTTCTGCTGCTGCTTCTGCTGCTGCGCATACCTCTGCCCCTGCTTCTGCTCCTGCCTCTGCTGCTCCTGCTGCTGCTGCGCCTCCCGCGTCTGCTGGGCATCCCTGGGCTGCAGCTAGGCCTTCTTGGGCTCTTGAGGGGCCTCCTCCCCTCCCTAACACCATCATCACTTGGACTGCGGGGGCCCCTTAGGGGGCCCCTCTGAGGGTCCTTATAGGAGCCACTGGGGCCCTGCTGGGGGGGCCCCCCCTCATCTACACTCATGCTCCTCCTACCACCACCTCTTTCTCTCCTGCTGGTGCTGCTGTGCCCTTTCTGAGGGCTTACGCTGCGGCTGTAGGGCCCTCTAGAGGGCCCCCTATAGGGGCCCCTGGAAGCCCCCCTAGAGGGACTCCTGGAGGCCCTGGACTTGGGGGGGGCCCGTCGTGTTGTGCTAACCGATGGAGGCCTCTCTCCTCCTCTCTGAATGCTCATAGTTTGCCTTTTGCATCCGCTATTGGGGGCCCCCCTGTCATCGGGGCTGGCAGTCCTGCTAGTAGACCGCCTCCTGATAGGGGGCCCCCTGGGGGGCCCCTCTCTACTGAAGCTCCTCCTACCAGGACTCCTGCTAGGGGGATTGATGCTGCTGCTACGTCTGCGGGAGTTGGGGGCCCTAGGGGAGTCCCCTAGTTGCCTACCCCTATTATTCTTCCTGCTGCTAGTGCTGCGGCTGCTGCGGTGGCTGCGGCTACCCCTGCTGCTGCGGCTGGTGCTGCGGCGACGGGGCGCTCGTCTAGGGCTCGGGCTACGGGGCCCTTCACGGTTCCATCTGCGGTCTCTGCTACCCACAGGGCTGCATGCATCTCTATAGGGGCCCCCACGGGGGCCCCTGGGGCCTCCTACCCTTCTACCTCCCCGCATGCACTCACTGGGGCTCCTGCTGTTGCCATAGGGGCCGCCTCTTCCCCAGTCGTCTCTGTAAGAGTCGGGGCCCCTCCTTGATGGGAAGGGAGGCCTCCTTGGGGCCCCCCGAGGGGGCCCCCCCAAGACCAAGCGGATGCGGCGGCCGCAATAGAGGGTACCGTCAAGACACTTGACTGCTGCCTTCGCATCCCTAAATAAATAAAAAAAAAAGAAAAAAAAAAGAAAAAAAAGAAAAAAAATAAATAAAAGAGGATACAGATAATGTATATATACTTGGTGTGCATGCAGGCACATTATACATGCATGTATATGCATAATATGTATATTAATATATATGCATGCATGCATACATATTACAAGTACATTTATTTATTTATTTTATTTATTTATTTATTTTATTTATTTATATTTATTTATATTTATTTATTTATTTATTTATTTATTTTCTTCCCCTACCTCCAATCACAGAACTCAGCGGTTGCTTCGGTCGAACTACGAAGACGATCTAAACTTGGCAACGCCGCCAGACGTCCAAACTGCAGCAGCAGCAGCAGCAGCAGCAACAGCAGCAGCAGCAATATTATAAGCAGCAGCAGGAGGGCATATATATGCCTTTATGTACTATTGTATACATACGCTACCCTCAATTATACACACACAACACCACCATTAACTGCATGCATGCAAATAATGTATGCATCTGCATGCATGCAACTGTATGCATGCAACTGTATGCATGCAACTATATGCATGCAACTGCATGCATGCATCTGCATGCAACTGGATGCATGCATCTGCATGCAACTGGATGCATGCATCTGCATGCATCTGCATGCATTTATTGATTTACCTCATCAAGAAGATCTTCTGTTTCCCTGAAGGAAATATCCTTAGGTAAATTAGCAATAAAAATAATATTATTTATTTTTTCTTCTTTTTTTTGTTCTTTTTCTTTATTATAATTATAATTATTATTATAATTATTATTATTATTATAATTATTATTATTATTATAATTATCTATATATCTATCTCCTCTTATTATTCTTCCTCCTCCTCTTCCTCCTCCTCCTCCTCCTCCTCCTCTTCCTCTTTCTCCATCATAATAATAATCTTTTTCTTCTCCTCTTCCTCTTTCTTCTCTTCTTTCTTCTTCTTCTTCTCCTTCTTCTTCTTCTCCTCCTCTTCTTCCTCCTCTTCCTCTTATTCCTCTTCTTCTTTCTTCTTCTTCTTCTTCTCCTCCTCCTCCTCTTCCTCTTTCTTCTCTTCTCCCTCTTTCTTCTTCTTCTTCTCCTCTTCCTCCTCCTCTTCCTCCTCCTCCTCTTTCTTCTTCTCCTCTTTCTTCCTTATATCTGCTGCTATTTATTGGTGATGGGCTCCGCCCGCGTCGTGGGGGCGAAGCCCGTGGAGAGGGGGAGGGGGAAGCCATGGGACCCTCCTCTAGCTCCTGCTGCTGCTGTTGCTGCTGCTGCAGTTGCTGCTGCTGCTGCTGCTGTTGTTGATTATGGTTATAATGACGGTAAGGAAAAATAAAAAGTTTGCGGTTGCTAACGGTGGATGTCGGTTGTTCTTCTAGTGCTGCTGCTGCTGCTGCTGCTGCTATTGCTGCTGCTGCTGCTGCTGCTGCCTGTGTTGTTGTTGCTGCTCTTGTTGCTGCTGTTGCTGCCGGGTGACGACGACCCTCTGTACGTACCTAGGGGTATTGAGCAAGGGAGTTTTTGCTGCTGCTGTCTTATAAGGATACTAATTGCTACCTATATAATTAGAGGCAATAAAGGCCAAAAGAAAAAGAAGAGAAAAGTAATTAAGCAATAGGGGAAGCAGCAGGAGGAGGAGCAGCAGCAGCGGTAGCAGCAGCAGCTAAAGGCCGCTGCTGCATGTGGGGCGTCTGTGTCTATCCTGCAGGCAATTAAGGGTATTATTATGCGCCCCTTATAAATATAAATATAATTAAAAAGATAAAAAACACCTAAAGGTTTAAATCTACAAGAAAAACAACAAATACAAACAACAGCAGCGACGCATACAGCCCCAAGCTACTGCTGCAGAGCCCCTGTGTCGCTAGGGGGCTGCTGCTGCTGTTGCAGCTGCTGCTGCAACAGCAGCAATTCATGTGTATGGACACCATAATTATTATTTATTTATGTTTTTATTTAATGAATAAATAGGCAGATTGAGTGTATATACATGCACCTTTAATGCAGCACACCGACGTTCTTCTGCTGCTACAGTGTGCAGCAGCAGCAGCAGCAGCAGCAGCAGCAATAGGTGCATGCACCCATGTTTTGCTGCTGCTGCTGTATAAAGACAAGATTTTAGTAATTGTTTGTTACTGCATGCATAATTAATTAAGTATTTATGCAGGTGCTTGCTAGTGGGGCTGCTGCTTCCTTAATAGCAATAATAATAATACTAATAGTAGTAAGAGTAATAATAAATAAATAAATAAATAGGTAGATAAATAGATAAATAAATAAATAAATAAAAAGAATATATTATTGCTAAATATAATTAAATTTGCTAACAATAACTCAATTTAATTCCCCCCTCTCCTCAGCAGCAGCAGCAGCAACAGCAGCAGGAGTAGCAGCAGCTCAGTGTAGACAATGTTAACTGTGTGTGGGGTTGAGGATGCTGCCTAAGAAGGTGACCCCTGATGTAACTCGCTGCTGCAGCAGCAGCAACAGCAGCAGCAGCAGCAACAGCAGCAGCAGCTGTGCTGCTGCTCCTGCTGCTGCTGCTGCTGCTGCACACCAGTAACACATGTAATCCAAGGTTAGCTAACAATAAAGAAATATTCTTCCCTTTAATGGGAGGAAGGCTGCTGCCTCCTTATAAGTACAGCTGCTGCTGTTGCTGCTGCTGCAGCAGCAGCAGCAGCAGCAAGAGGCCATTGTTAAGCTAATAGAAGGAGTCGCATATGGGCTGCAGCACAGAAGGGTTCTGCTGTTCTCCTCTGCAGCAGCAGCAGCAGCAGCAACATCTATGGATCTCTGTGTGCATGCAAGAGGACAGCAGCAGACACGTAGCAACTAATCAATCTCTTGTATAGAGACAACATAAACCCTAAACCCTAAACCCTAAATTAGGGTTTAAGGAGGAACGGTTTAGGTAAGGAGACAGAAAAGGAAGAAAAAAAGAAGGAAGGAAGGAAGGAGACATAAAAGGAATAAATATAAAATAAAGCTGCATGCAACACCAAGTTGCAGCAGCAGCAGCAGCTGCTGCTGCAGTTGCTGCTGCAGCTGCAGCAGCAGCTGCTGCAGTCTTTCTTGTTATGTAGCAGTGTGGGTCCCCCCCTGTGCATAACATGCAACCACCGCCTAGGGTTTAGGGTTTAGGGTTTAGGTAAGAATACTCACAGCTAGCCATTTAGCTAGCTAACTAGCTAGCTAGCTAGTTAGCGAGCTAGCTAGTTAGCTAGCTAGCTAGCTAGTTAGCTAGCTAGTTAGCTAGCTAGCTAGCAGGTACGTGTGTCTGTGTATTATTGGCAGCAACCATTTGGAGGGCCCCCTAGAGGCCCCCTTCGAAGGGGGCCCCTAGGGGCCTTTGAGTACCCACAGGGGCCAAGGTACCCTATACCTGTACCAGGTACAGGTACCAAGGGCCCCCGCAAGAAGGTACCCAGGGGCCCCCTATTAAAGCCTGGGGTCCAAGGGATTAATAGGGTTTTCTTATATAACTCAAGGGGCCCTAGGGCCTCAGGGGCCCCCCTAGGGCCTCAGGGGCCCCTCAGCGAAGTGTTGGTCTTAGGGGATTAAATACCTCTCTTATAATATATATATAT